TATCTCACACGCCTTAATTGGATTGGTATAGCGCGATATATCAACCCAACGTTCGGGTGCGGTGTCACAAGTTCACCCCCCCTTAAAAGGAATTTCGTCCCCGAAATTCACAGCTCTACTCGAATAGGAAAGCATACTGCTCCCTCATCAAAGCCTCTGTTTCCCATGTCTCTTCTTCGACCCGATCGCTCTTCCAAAGTACTTTAACCATTGGGACTTCCTTGCTTCTCAATTTCTTCACCTTCCTATCAGTGACCTTGATTGGTTGCACGGCGTAGTTCAAATTCTCACGTACCTCTACAGGCGGTTTTTCCAATACGTGAGAGGGATCATGTACATACTTCTTAAGCATGGATACATGAAACACATTATGTATCTTCTCTAATTCAGGAGTCAACTGTAGACGATATGCAACGACCCCAATCCTCTCTATAATTCTGAATGGACCTATGTATCGTGGGTTAAGCTTCCCTCGGGTTTGGAATCGAATGATTTCTTTCCAAGGAGAGACTTTCAAGAATACCTCGTCATCAACCTTAAACTCTAAGGTTCTTCGTCGCTTATCTGCATAACTCTTTTGTCTATTCTGAGCCGCTTTGAGTCTCTCTCGAATCAACTTTACCTTTGACTTGGTGATCTCAACCAACTCAGTACCCTCGAGTTTGGCCATGCCGACCTCGTCCCAGCATAACGGTGTACGACACCTCCTCCCATACAATGCTTCATATGGAGGCATGCCGACACTTGCCTGATAACTGTTGTTATAGGCAAACTCCACGAGTGCTAAGTGGTTGTCCCAACTTCCTTGGAACTCTAACGCACAAGCCCTCAGCATATCCTCTAAGATCTGTATAACCCTTTCAGACTGCCCATCCGTCTGTGGATGGAAAGCAGTACTGAACTTCAACCTCGTTCCCATAGACTCCTGGAATTTCGGCCAAAAACGTGATGTGAATCGTGGGTCTCTATCGGATACAATGGTCACTGGGACCCCATGCAGCCTCACGATCTCATCCGTATACAATTTGGCTAACCTCTCAAGTGGGTAGGTAGTGTTGATAGGCAAGAAGTGTGCACTCTTCGTGAGCCTATCTACAACGACCCAAACTGCATCATAGTTCCTGATTGTCCGTGGTAAACCCACCACGAAATCCATAGTCACGTGTTCCCACTTCCATTCAGGAATGGAAAGTGGTTGCAATAAGCTTGCTGGATGCTGATGTTCCGCCTTTACTTGTTGACAAGTAAGGCATCGACTGATGTATTCGGCTATTTCCCTCTTCATTCCAGACCACCAGTAACTTTCTTTCAAATCTCGGTACATTTTCGTGCCCCCTGAGTGCATGGCATAAGCCGATGAATGAGCCTCCTCCAAGATGGACTTACGGAGCTCCTCATCTGACGGTACACACACTCGGTCACGAAATAACAAGAGACCATCATCTCTTTCCCTGAAATCCTCCACCGGCCCCGCTTGCATGCGTTCCCGGACCTTCATAAGTTCTGCGTCAGTCTCTTGACGCTTCTTGATCTCATTAAGTAAGGTCGGTCTCACTTCGAACCGTGCCAATAAGGCACCGTCGCTAGATACATCAATTTGGGCCCTCAGTGCCCTCAAACTAGTCAACAATGCCCCAGACGAACTCTTCCGACTGAAGGCATCTGCTACAACGTTTGCCTTACCTGGATGGTACTCAATAACTAGATGGTAGTCCTTTATCAACTCCATCCACCGTCTCTGTCTCATGTTTAACTCTTTCTGAGTAAACACGTACTTCAAGCTCTTATGATCAGTATATATGTGGCATGTCTCTCCGTAGAGATAATGTCTCCAAATCTTCAGTGCAAACACTACTGCTCCCAGCTCCAGATCATGGGTAGGATAATTTACCTCATGCTTCTTCAACTGTCGTGAAGCATAGGCAATTACCCTCCCCTCCTGCATCAACACACACCCAAACCCTTGGATGCTCGCGTCACTATAGACATCGTACCCCACACCCTGTTTGGGTAATGAAAGTACCGGTGCCTCGGTCAATCTCTTCTTCAGTTCGATGAATCCTTTCTCACATTTGTCATCCCATATAAACTTAGCTCCCTTTCGAGTAAGCTTCGTCAACGGCGACGCCAAAACAGAGAACTTTTCCACGAACTTTCTGTAGCAGCCTGCCAATCCAAGGAAACTACGAATTTCCTTGACATTCTTTGGTCTCTCCCATTCGGTAATGGCCTCTATCTTCTTATTATCAACAGCAATTCCCGATCCCGAAACCACATGCCCGAGAAAGCCAATTTCCTTTAGCCAAAATTCACATTTAGAAAATTTGGCATAAAGTTGATTCTCCCGTAGTGTCTCAAGAACGAGTATCAAGTGCTCTTCATGCTCTTCCTTACTCTTTGAGTAAATCAAAATGTCATCTATGAACACAATCACGAATCGATCCAAGTATTTATGGAATACTCGATTCATCAAGTCCATGAATGCTGCTGGGGCGTTTGTTAACCCAAACGACATAACAAGGAACTCAAAATGCCCATACCTTGTGCGGAAAGCACTCTTTGGTATGTCATCTTCCTTAATCTTCATTTGATGGTACCCCGACCTCAAGTCAATCTTTGAAAACACGGTTGCTCCTCGTAGTTGATCAAACAAGTCATCAATCCTAGGCAAAGGATACCTATTCTTGATTGTGACCTTGTTCAGTTGACGATAGTCAATGCACATTCGAAGTGTCCCATCTTTCTTTTTCACAAAAAGAATCGGTGCTCCCCACGGGGAGTGGCTTGGTCTAATGAAGCCATTATCCAAAAGCTCTTGCAATTGGGTTTTCAACTCGTTAAGTTCAGCGGGTGCCATACGGTATGGCGGTATGGAGATTGGTTTGGTGCCGGGCTCGACCTCGATTACAAATTCAATCTCCCTATCAGGTGGAAGCCCCGGCAGGTCCTTTGGGAAGACATCCGGGTACTTACAAACCACCCTCACGTCGTCGATGTTCGTTTCCTCCTTGGTCTTGTCAACCACGTATGCTAGATAAGCGTGGCATCCCTTTCTCATCATACTTCTCGCTCTCACAGCGGATATGATACAGCTGTTTGATTTGCCTCGGTCCCCCTCGAAGCGTAGGGTATCCCCATCATTGCCTTCGAGTTCCAAGACCTTTGTGTAGCAATCTACCCTAGCATGATGCTTTTCTAGCCAATCCATCCCTAGGATTGCATCGAACTCCATCATACTTAGCGGTACGAAATCACACGTCAAGGTTTGGCCACCGATTTCCACCATACAAGATGGATAGTACTTGGTTCTTTCAACATCTTCCCCTAGTGGTGTTGAAACCACTAAAGTTTGCGTCATTGGTATTGATTGTATCTCTAAGCCCTCGGCGAACGCCTCACTTACGAATGAACGTTGCGCTCCGGTATCGATAAGGATTCGCGCATGCTTCCCATTAATCTTTAGTGTTCCTACATTTATAAGTCATGTGAGATACCTTTTCTAATGTTTTTACACATCATTAGGAGTTTATTAGGTTCATACTGATGTTTGGAATCAATCGGGGGTCCAAACGTAGAAGGACGGAGCGAAAAAATGAGTTTTCGGTTGCCGGGGGTCCACGCACGGCGTGCCTGGGTGGCACGCACGGCCGTGCGTGCACAGGAGTCTCCCTGCCAGCCACTGCCTCCCAGGCACGGTGCCACGCACGGCGTGCCTGCGGCCGTGCCTGGCCGAATTTCCTCGAAGAGGCCACTGCCTCCCAGGCACGGTGCCACGCACGGCGTGCCTGCGGCCGTGCCTGGCCGGAATTCCTCAGAATGGCCACTGCCTTCCAGGTACGGTGCCACGCACGGCGTGTCTGCGGCCGTGCCTGGCCGGAACTCCTCAGCGAGGCCACTGCCTCCCAGGCACGGTGCCACGCACGGCGTGCCTGCGGGCGTGCCTGGCCGGCAGTGGCTGTTTCCAGCCTGATTTGGCCTAACTCACCCGGTTTGGCCCCGGGGTGGCCCGCACACAATCCCAACGACGTACATGATCAAAGTAAGCCTAAAAATTCCCAAAATAAGTGTATTACCTGCGACGGAGTCGGGATTAGCCCGAGCATCTGCCTCGGTCATTGCGTACACTCTCGCTTGAGTTCTTCCTTGGTTCACGGAGGGTGCGTTGCTTGTACTTGCCCCGCCGTGGCCCGCGCTTGCATTTGGTGCCCACCTCGGTTTCTACTCACCATGGTTGCACTGCTTGGTCCTGATGACTGGTTCCCACCAAGTTGAGGGCAATTGGGCTTTATGTGCCCCGTATCTCCGCATTGGTAGCACCGTGGGGGATCACGACATTTGCCCTCGTGATTTCTCTTGCAATTCCTGCACTTAGGCTTCGTCGAGGCTTGTAACCCCGAGTTTTGCCCACCCATGTTGGGATTCCCCCTTGATGGTGGTGCGGGTGCCCTGAAGGATCCTCCTCCCCCGTGATTCCCCTTCCTGTTTGAACCCTGGGGGCCATGGTTCTCCCATTTCCTTTTCTTTGCCTCCTCGGCATTTCTTCGCTTCCTCTCTTCCCACTCCTTCTCTCCCTTCAAACCTTGTTCCACCACTTGACTAAATGTCATATTAGGCAATTGTGTTGCCCTCTCACGTATGTCAAGGTCCAAGGCATCCCAGAAATGGTTCACCATCCGATTTTCATCACAAATGTACTCCGGTATGAACTCGGCAAGCTTTCTGAATTTGTGCTCAAGTTCCTTCACCGTGCATTCCCCTCCTTGGGTCAAATTCGTGTACTCCCTCCTCTTCAAGTTCACCTCGAAGTCGGAGTAGTATTGGCTAAAGAATTCTTGCCTGAAGTTCTCCCAAGTGACCGCCTCACCATACTTCCCCTTGACACCGTCCCACCATGTGGACGCCATTCCTTCTAGCAATCTTGTTGCCACTCTCATCTTCATATGGGGTGGCAGCTGCATATCAAGGGCCGCTTCATTGAATCTTTTGATCCATTTGGCTGCCACGGAGATGTCTCCCATTCCATCAAATGGTTTGCATCCCAACTCTCTCGCCTCTTTGAGGTATTTCGAGATTCTTATGATAGGAACCTCGGCACCTCTTCCTCCTCGGGACTCCTCATGTTCCCTAGAGGTAACACAACTCCCTCTTCTCGAAGCCCCTCCCGAAGCACGCCTTGCCTGGCGCCTTTGGCGATCTTGTTGGTATTGCCGAAGCAATTCCTCAATCCGCTCGAGGGCGTCATAATCATTGCTCTCTTCGCTAACGTCATCATCCTCCCCATCATATGGGGTTTCAACCGGCTCAGTTCCCGGTCGGTAAGTTGAATCCTCCTCGGACTCATAATGCTCGTCAATCGTCTCAACATGGCCGTCACTCACGGTCAGCGAGTGGCCTGCACGGCCTTGTCCCCTGGACGCCCTCGATGCCCCCCGACTGCCACGTTGGGACCCTCCCGGTGCCTGGCCAGTCGGGTTCCGTCGAGTAACTTTCCCGGTACGTTCCATTTCTGAAAGAAATTGAGAATGAGCCATTAGACTCGTATCAATGTCAAGTGACGGATAGGCACTTAAAGACATCCTTCGGCTCAAATCACCATCATACCAATTGTTAAGGGTACCATCTTAACAATTAGAGACTTTGCAACTCAAGTACCAAAAGTTCTATAAGTGCAAAACTTTTATGCTCATGGTTTTCAAAATCATTTTCAAAAGGGATTTTGAAGCTTCATTATGAAGTTTACGGACTAAGGCTCTGATACCAATTAAATTGTCATGCCCCGGACCTACCCGGACACGTCAACAATCCGCCGTACAGTACGAATGGTCAACCGCAGTCCAACACATTCATGCTATACAAGGCGTCTGGGATATCATTCACACATAGTACATCCATAAATAAACATAATATAAAATATTCATTCAAAGCAGCGGAAACGTTTAATACAAGTGTTCAAGCCACACTTGGCGTAACATGGGCATACAAGCCATCAATAGTTATTCAAAAGATAACATCCATGAGCATTAATTTAAATGAGTTTAAAACAGGAATGGAGGGAGCACGAACCACGTCTTCTTCTCCTGAATTCTCTTGGAGCAACGGCGAGGGTAGCAACCTTCAAGTTCTACCTGAAACTGTGAGGTGGCCTCCCCCGTGAAGGGGAGGTCAGTACTTGGAAGCATTTGACAAGTACAATGACAACTATACTAAGTATAATCAAAGTTTCAATTTCCAAGACCCTCAATCTAGGATGTTATTATATTATAGGTCATAACCCGTGGTCACCCTCTTTAAAAGTATACTTACTTTGTATATAAAGTCAAGTAGTCGCCCGAAGGCCCATGTTTACTTTGAAAACATTTAACCCTTTCCCCGTGACTTCAAGCCACACCCATCTATATTACTTTACCATGCTAGAGGCTTCCTCTAGTCATGTTTTGTCGTGCTAGAGGCTTACTCTAGTCACTCCACTTGGTGTTAGAGGCTTCCTCTAATCACCTTACATACGTTGTGCTGGAGGCTTCCTCCAGTCACATTACGTTACGCTAGAGGCTTCCTCTAGTCGTCCTACACGAACGCTGGAGGCTTCCTCCAGTCATTCTTCATCGTGCTAGAGGCTTCCTCTAGTCACGATACTAGTTCACTAAGCAAGTTCTATGCCTAGAGTTCATCTATTATGAGTAACCTTTGAGGCCTACTCCTACGGTAACTTAGCGTTTACCCATTTCTACCTTAAGACATCTCATAAGACTACTTAAGGTGTACCTCTCTCACAATCCAAGCCCTTAGGATTTGTGCTATCACTTTTCATACTAACATTTCCGACTAGTAAAATCAATACTAATCCATTTGTCTTTAAGCCACCAAGCTCTTTAATTCATAGTTATAGGGCTCATTCCCATGAATTTCCCAATCTATATATGATTTAATCTCAATATCAAAAATATCACTTTTATCCATTCATGATTTCTATACATGAAGTAAAAGTATATTTCATCACAAAAATTCATGATTTATACATTCATCATATCATCATTCTTACAATGCATAACTATACACCATTTACTCATAAATTTGTATATTATACATCTTCTATTAATAAACAACAATATTTTCATTAGGCATTATTAATCATTAATAATCCATGAAAATCACATTTAATTATCTTAGGTAATCTTATGAAATTAACCCAAGGATTATAAGCAATATAGTCGGTCATCCTCACCTCAATTGAGCTTTAAACCATCCCTTCTTGGTCCAATGGTCAAGACTTTGGTCAAGGTGGATTTGGAACTGATTCCTTGCTCAAATATGGGTGTTAAACAGCCTCTTCAAAGCGCCAGCTCAACCCCTAAACGTTGGTACGAAAACAGCCCCTAGAATGGGTGTTTTCCGGTGAACACGTTTTCTAGTTTTTCCATGATTTGCTCTAGGTTAGTACATAACCTTTACATCAATAAATTAAATCTATAAGGACATATTATACACTTGGATTGGTGTAAAATAGCTCCATCAATCGTTCATATCATTTGGAAAAAGAAAGGAAAGGTTTTGGGGTTAACAACTCACTTTAGAAGAGTAGATCCGTTTCTGCGAGGTTGTGTTTTGCTCGGACGATTTGGAAGCCTTCCACTACTCCGATTGATGCAAACCAGACCTTCATGGATTCCTCGTCTTGAGAGATTTCTTGTGGTATCTCACACGCCTTAATTGGATTGGTATAGCGCGATATATCAACCCAACAGTCTCAGCACTCTCACAGCTCGAGTTTACAGACCACAGCTCACTCCAGCTCGATTTTTTGTATGATAACTCTATCCTCTCGAACATAGACCACTCAAATATGAAAATAGACTTCAAAGGCTATCCAAGGACACCTCATTCACCTTATTTGGTCAAGTATATCTCCCATAATGAGTGGAGACAAACAGCACACCAATTTGTGCGAAAACTGCTCATGGTGGCCCTAAGTTGATGCTAATCATGTCTTGTGAAGCTTCTCTCCAAGCTGGCCGGACAAGGTAAGTCCTCTCACCCATTTTTATTTGTCTTGCAGGTACTAATACCATGTGGAGTGGTTCCCAATTGATCCCAATCATTTTGGGATCCAAATTATCTATCAATACTTCCAAAAATGGGAGGATGGGTCCTATTGTTTACCTTTTGTCAAAGATGTCCTTTTGTACTCATCCTAATTTATTTAGAACAAGTCAACTTCCTACATCACATTATTGATCTCCAATATGTGTAGGTTTATCACAATAATTTACTTAATGGATATTATAGAAGAAAAATCCTACTCCCATTATTTAGCTCAATAATGTTAAAGATGGGACTATAGGCATCTGTATTCTTCTCTAAACGTCCTATCACTTATTTACGATAATGTTGGGCTCTTTTATTTACTAATAAGTCCCAAATAGTATTTGTATGTCCGACACTAATATACGAGTTCGAACAGTACAATATTCGATCATTAATTACGTAAAACATTAATCGTTTTACAATTGTTTGGGAATCAGAAATCCAATACATAAACTTTGAATATTTAGATCAAATTTTCAAGGACGTTCGGGTGCGGTGTCACATAAACACCTAATTCCCTAAATTACCCTTTCTAGGTGTTCGTTGAGCACTGCAGGCATACAACTAAGCCGCAACATTGTCGTACTGTGCATGACGTATCATTGCATCCTCTTATCTCTAGCAATTAAATAAACACCCCCTTCTCTAACATTGACTATACGGAAGTAACGGAATAGATGACGGACAATTTGGAGTAAAGGCAAATCTACTTATATATAAATTGTGAAAGGGAGTTAAGTTGGGCATTTTTCCGTTGCTACAGTCCTTAATGTTAACCTCCGTTTGCTACCTCCTCCGTCTGGTAACGTGGTTTCATATAAGCCTTTCTTTTTTGCTCTTCAATCGACATCTCACATCATCGCTCCTCACATCTCCGGCTTCTCTCTGCTCGTTATCGCTCCAGAGCTTTACTCCTCAAGCGGACCACCACTTGTTTTCCGAAGAAGTTCAACGATTGGTGACTGAAAGATATGAGTCGGCCATCTTAATATTCCTGGCCGCTTGAAATTTCCCCGCTCCAGAGCTTACTCCTCAAGCGGACCACCTGCAAGAAGCTTGTAGAATAGAAATGAAGTCATCAATCAAGGGTTTTCCAAAGCTATGAAGACCCAATACAAGTGTGACGAGTGAGAGGTTCAGAGTCGGCTATGTCCCTTTTTCAACTCAGCATGTAGCAAGGAGGAGGAGAAATTCTTTGATTCAATCTTTTCTGTGCAAGGCCGCCCAACGATCTCCGATTATCATATAGCTACAATCGATTACCCAGCAACTCTGGTAATTCTCACCTCTCTTCTTCACTAATATGATACCATTTCTGTTTGGATGTTGACATCATCTAGGGTTTTCAGTTTTTTTTAACTATGCATATTGGCGAGTCTTTTCAAAAATGAAAATGTTCAGGACTTCTATGAAGATTGAGGAGCTCAGCAAGTACAGAGAGATTGAGAATTGTAATATACGTAGTATGTGGTAATTTAGCTGACCACATGGTATGTCTACTTCTCTTATTAGATGGAGTAGTTTTTTCTGATTTCCAATTAAGTGTATATTTAACTGACTAGATTATACAGTAACTATTTCTTTAGCTATTTCTCCTAAATGAATTCGTTTTTGTTGATTCCACATTACTTCCAACTTTGAATACGTTAAGGACTTGTGTGCAACCTGCCAACCTCTGTTGGTTCAGGCAGTGTTAAAGTACAAATTTTCTTATTCCCCCAATGATGTAGCAGTACAGCTTTTTTGTATCTCCTAGCATAACAGTGAAATTTATTACAGAACAAAGTTAGACATTCTTTACAGTTAGCAATTTAGAATATAAGAACCAAATCAAACAAAGAATGATTAAAGCTATAATGCAGAACCAGACTTCTGCATTTAATGAACTTAATAAAAATATTCTACCAGAGTAACAAAGTTTGCTTCTTCTGATCCACGTTTCAGGAAGCTTATTACATGGAATTCTTCCACCCCCAATATGGAGTTATTGGGTTGGCTTAAAATTTAACACATACGGAAAATATTATAGCTACCCATCTTCCAGAAGCACTTGAATGCTACTATGCCGTACTATGTTTTAGAAATGTTGATGCCCAAGAAAGACTTGAATGCTACCATGTCTTATTGTGCTTTTTTAGGGTAATGTCTTACTGTGCTTTAGAAAATAAAAATATCGTTAACACATCATTCCTCCATTTCTTTGAAGTACTCAACAACAAAACAACACAAAATTTTCTCTCCTTTAATTTTGTTTACAGTCTCCGACTTAGATTTTTATCATTTGAAGATTTATCAAAAGTTTTTTCAGTCACTTGAGATTCTTTGAAAAATGTCACCATCAATGTTTTAAAATTAAGAAAGAGTGTGATATTTAACTGACTAGATTATAGGTGCTCTTTATACTAAAACGGTTTCTTGTAATTCTTGTAATTTCTTCATACTAAAACGGTTTCTATATTTTTCACTATTTCTTGTCCAAGAAGGGATGGTTTAAGAATTAGCATCGAAGGACATTTATAATTTGACTCAAGATACAATTATTGGAATTTAAATGATTAAAAGTTTTTATACCATAACTATTTCTTGTAACTAAAACAATGTCTTTATTTTCACTAACCATTGCTATAATTTCATTCACCATTTGCTTATGTAGGACGTCCAATTATTGTTGACTTCTCTTTGGTGACTGACTTTTGTGAAGCTACTTGTAGACAATATGAGGAAAATGTATGCAACCAAGGGGGCTACTGCAACTTCATGCATCTTAAAAAGATAAACCGGTGTGTCTTTCTATTTCTTTTTTTCTAATCTGAAATGAATATGTAATTAAAGATTTCTTGCCAATTATTGAGTTATTGTTCTTGACTCTATTATCTTATGCTTGACCATGTTGTGAATATGTATAATGTATATGTTACTTATCTAGGAAATGGAGTGAAATTCAAGGTAAGTTTTATTGTTTTTTTCCTCTCCAGATTTATGGCCACTTGTTTATAATTTATGGCCACCATACCTTTACTGCTTCTTTCCTTAAGAGTTTTAAATAATACCAATTAAGAAATCTAAAACATTAATAAATCTCAAGTCTTGTGGTGTTTTTGTAGGGGTAAAATGAAAATCACGTTGAAGTGGTTGAACCGAAGGCTGCCCCCACAAGTGGATCATATTGAGTTGGACTTATCAAACTCTGCTATTACCGGAAAGGTGTTGTTATGGTACTTAAATGCAAAGAAAATCTTTACAAGTTACATATATTTGTATTTACTCAGTTGTTATCTCTAAATGACATTCTATGTTCTACTGTTTCGTACAATTTTTTCAAACAAATAAAGTGTTGATGGGGTTGTTCCTCCAAATGACTTGAGATTTTCAAACCTTATGGGGGCAACCTTTTCAAAGAGATGGTATTCTAATTGTAGAGGAAATATCCAAAATTCAACTTATTTTACAATGGAGAAGAGCCAAGAAGGTAAACATTAGCCTGGTAACTTTTTCTTTTTCTTATGATCTTATCAACATTCCCATATCATGTGTACTTTTAGCAGTTTTACCCTCATATTGGGATTTTTCTGTGGTACCAATTATTATTTTTAGCAATATTTTTTTCATTTTTGTGTTAGTATACCTAGATAGGCCGTGTGGTAGTAGTCTTACTACTTCCCCCTCCTATCAAACATATTCCTCGTGACTAATGATTACAACATTTTGGCAAAGCCTAAAATTAGTCGGTAATAACAACATACTACATACTCTCTCCGCTTATGAATAGGCATCACGCTTTAGCTTTGCACAGGAATAAAGACAACTATTGAATGTCATTCATTTCAAGGCAATTTGAATGTCCTGTGCCATAATTTATACTAAGTATTTCGTTTTGGCCTTAAAATGGTCCCATATTAGTTTTCAGTCTTAGGAATTCAAGATATAGTTTCCATTTTTTCTTCCCCAATTTCCTTTATTTATTCTTTTTAAATTAAATGATTAGAGTAATTGAAAGATAAGTACTACAAACGAGATAGTCTTTAGTTTCTTACAATTATAAATGAGAAATAAAAATTGGGACCAGGGGGTATGATATAGGCTTATGATAACCCAAGATGGCGTGTATCTTTGCACTTTAGTCTGAGATGTTACTATTGTGGCATCCAATCAAATATGCAAATTTATTATTGATACTATGTGAACCAGACTATCAGTTTCTGGACATGCATGTGTGCAGCAATATGTATCACGAGTTTATTGAATTTACAGGTGAAAAATATGTGGCCCAATGTTGATGCACATAGTGGGGTGTTGTACGTTGAGCTATTACGGTTTATTTGAAGGTAGGTATTGATTGATTCTTTTCTCCTTCAGAAAGTTGTTTCAAGCTTTTAACTTTTTAAAGTTTGATTTTAATAGTGTTCACTTGAAGCTTTTTTTTCTTTCTGTTTTTTTTTTTCTCTATGTTTTTTGAATTAACTGTTTTTCCTGGAGCTCATTACTCTCAATCATATCCCTAAAAAAACTCTGAATGAGTATAACTAGAAAGAAAGCAAAAAACACACACATTATTAGAACATAATTACTACTTCACCCTCACCCTCCTCCAAAATCCCATTCTGCCCCATCTTTAATCTTTATCTTATTTGTACCTATACATATAGAGGTAATCATCTCTACGAATTTATTAGAAAGGTTGGAAGTTCCACATATGTTTAGTTGAACTTTTAAACACATCTGAAACCTATTAAAACTACTAATCCCAAGAGTTCCCAAACAAGCTGCTACAGGGTAATGGGTTATCCTAACTTTATATCAAAGTTCAAATTTATA